TATATATATATATATCAGAAATGTTGGTGTAAGATGTTTGATTGAGATGAAAAATAGTTTTTAAAGCCTCCGTTCAGAGAAGAAACCTTGTGCTTTTCTTTGTTCCATCTCATTATCACATTAATTAGTTGATTTATATGTGCTGGATTCATCACCTTTATTCCTATTGTGAATAATTTGTGAATGTCTGAGCCACAATCCAGGATAATTGATCGTCTATATACAAATAAAGAGCGTCTGACGGGGTTTGAAGATTATTAGGGGATACAAGTGTTTTTCTTTTTAATTATTATTTTGCTGCTCCTTTTTAAACAAAGCAGCTTCTTCAGATGTTTATTGTTCCCCTTGTTGCTTGCGTCAGACAGTAATAATGAACTTTTATTGTTCCAAAACCTATTTTGTGCTTTCCAGATATGTAAGCTACATGCCATTGACGCTAATGCACCTCCATACCATCAGAGAGGAAGGCCTTTGAATTGTGCATTGGTAACAGCCTGCATGGTCTCTTTTCTTTATAGTACAGAAGACATTAGCTTTTCTCCAAAAAAAGAAAAAAATGATTTGACTGATCACCAAACTTTTTTCTACTTCGCCTCAGTTTGTTTTAAACAAGTTTTGGTCCAGAGAAGATACCAGGGTGTCTGGATGGTGCTCACATGTGGTTTCTTTTTGTTCTTGATTGAGCGTTCGTGGATGGCATGGTGAACTGTGTTTGATTTGTGGAAGTGTTCCTGAGCTCATACAGTGATGACCTGTTTTGAATGAAGTTCAGGGCCTGAAGATCAAGGACCCGCATATTGACCTTCAACCTTGTCCTTGGAGCTCAGAGACTTCTTTTAAATCTTTTGATGATATAGAGAATTGTAGATGGTAGATTCAAAGTTTTCCCAATTTTACATGAAGTTGTTCCTATTTTTAGACATATGTTTTCACTGCCCGTCTTTACTTCTAAGATCTTCAGCCTCTCTAACATGCTCTTTTTATAACCAGCTCTCTGACTGACCTGTTGCCAGAAACTCTGATAATTTACAAAAAGCTCCTCCAGCTGTTTCTTATATGCACCACTTACATTTACAGCTTTTGTTGCTTCTGTTTCCACTTTCTTGTGATGTTTCCATTAAATTCAAAACTACCTAATATGCTAAGAGGAAAAAGTAAACCATCTTAGTTTAAACATTTGATATGTTTACTATTTTACAGTGTGAATACAATGTGGGTTTATGAGATGTGAAAATCATTGCATCATGTTTGTATTTACATTGTACACAAAGTCCCAGCTTTTTTTGGAATTGGTGTTTATACATATATCTATGACAATATTTATACTGCAATACATCCCCTGGTCATCAATCCACAATGCTGCCGTAAAGACATCCCGTCATAATGTAAATTGTCACAGCAGCACTCCTTTAAATTGATTCATTTGGCTTCTATGCCGTATCTGCTGAGGCTGTTTTATCAGGGTCTCAAGAATGGCTCCCTAAAGATAACCGAGCCTTTACACAGCAATCAGGCTGCAGGCAAGAGAAGGAAACAAATGGGCGAGTAAAGTGGGAGAGAAGCCAATGAATGCAGGGAATCCCTGATTTTCTCCGCACGCAGGCAGACAGGCTCACTGAGCAGAGCAGGAAGAAACCCCGGGGAGTGCAGTCACACCGCATTAGAGGTCTGCGTCTCCAGGATGAGACAAGGGAAAACAGAGCTGCTTTTGCATGCACAGATGAGCATGCACATGCACTGACATGTACGTGTGTTATTATTGTGGTAGACATTTCAGGCTGCAACTCACTGTGTAAGACCAATACTGTTTCCTTAAATAAAAAAAAAATGATTGAGCTGCATGTTAGGTCAGAAGTGCTTTATTATCAGTGTCACTTTGTGGCATTTGGCTAAGCCATAAAATATTTATTAAATTAATTTAAATTAAAACAGAATTCACCCTCAAATAACCTGATGACTTGATCTGACAAACCTAAATGAGTAAATTGTTTTTTATGTTGATGCTGCCACTCATAAAACAGACATGAGGTGCGAGAGCCAATATTTTCACGAGCCATTAAATCATGACGTTGCACGTGCGTGTGTTCAGTTCTCTATTACCAAACTCACGAACCACATGGCAGATTTTAATGAAACTTTCCAAAAGTTATCATTAGATAAATCTTCAAATGATAACATTTTAAAGTCAACCCAACTCAAAGATGGCTGTCACAGCTAATGAGCGTTAGCAAACCCAACAGTGGCTACAGCTCGGTCAGTTTTACAGACGTGAACTAAAATTTGGTGTGGTCGTAGCTTTGAGTCTTCCTTAACACACATTTTGAGCACGACCAGATTGCCCCAAATCTCAGTTTTGAAAGCAAGTAATCGTTGATACTTTCCTCACACTTTTTACTTTGTGTCACCCACAGTAAAGAAAAGCATACAAAAAAAATGTAAAGAAAGAAGAAACAAACCAAATTTGATAACTAGATTAATGGTTTGTTCACTAAAGTACTTGAAAGATTCAACTGCCATGTTAGACATTAATAAAACAATAATGTACATGTTCTGTCTTCTTGATTATTTGCAAATGAAGTGTATTCCAAACCTTATACTCCTGCTAGCAATGACTATCTTTGCTTCGTAGTGGTAATTGCTATATTTCAAAACTAATTTTGTGTGATTTTGTGATGTTTAAACCATATTTAACATCAAAATGAAACTGGGATCTTACACAAAGTATCAAGTGAAGAAGCTTCTTTTGATATTTGACGTATTTGAAACAGAAACCACCAGCTCTATGAGGAGCCGTGTAGTGTGTGCGGGAGAGAAAATAGATTATGTCGTACACGGCACCTCATACTTTTTGCCTAAAACAAACAAGTCAGATTGATGGCAGTATTAAATAGTTTTATTAGCTGCACAGTGGCCTGTTGGTTATCATTGTTGACTTGGAGTAAAAAATAATGTTGCTAGTTTGACTCCTGTCTGGGGTGTTTCTGTTAGGAGTTTGCATGCCCTCTCATGCACTGCTAGGTTATCAACGTCAAGGTCAAGCTTTCTTTATTGTCATTCCATCCCATGTGGTACATAAGGTGGAATGACATTGTGTACACAGGGTCCCAGTTACATTCAACAAAAGTATAAATTGTAAAAGTGCAACAGTAATAAATTCTAAGATATGAACTAAGAAAAACGTTAAACTAAGAATACGCTAAGCACTAATAGTACAAAAACAATGAGCCAAACAACAGCAGCACGAACATGAGTCTGTGTGAGCAGATGAGGACGAATTAACACAGCAGCATGAAATAAATCAGCAGTGTGAGATCAGCAGCATGGATAATCAGCAGCACATATCAACAACCAAGTGGCATTACAGTGATTTTTTTCACAGTGATTATCCTGATTAGAGATTCATGAGTCTAGCAGCTTCAGGATAAAAGCTGTTCCTCAGTTTAGTGGTTCTACACTTAATGCTCCTTAACCTCCTTCCTGAGGGGAGCGGGGCAAAAAGTGTGTGTGCTGGGTGAGTGGGGTCCTTCATGATGCAGGTGTCTCTCTTCCTGCATCTGGAGGTGTAGATGTCTGTGACGTGGGTACTGATGTCTCTAAATTAAATGAATGTCTGGTTGTCTTGTTCGTCTCCGTGTGGCCATGTAGGCCATGCGTGTACTCCACCTTTTGCTTGAATGACGGCTGAAGAAAATGCATGGATGTTTTTCAATGTATCTTAGCCTTTTTGCCTCCCTTCAGATGTGAAATCATCTTTAAATCGAACGCCATGGTGAATGGTTCTGGATTGTTAATTGTGATGATGGTCATATTCTTTCATTTCTCCCTGCTTTTTATACATACATATAAATAAATAAATAAAAAACAGCATAAAAAATAAAGTAAAAGTCATCTATCAGAAGTCGGAAAGCTCTTCTGCTCTCAGCCTCTGTGTAACAGAGCTGTTGACCACCTTATGAATAAATCCTGTCTTCATTGTTAATTCTCTTTTTATTCACAAACCAGGGAGCAGTCATGCATCTTATATCTCTGCCGTAAACTCATGAATATTGTCCTGATTCCATCCAGATTAAATCTGCTGATAGTTTGACTTTCTGCGTGCAAGCTCCTCTATGCTGCTGCACTGAATAGTATCTGATCTGCAGTGTTTTGAGGGGTTTCCCTCCCTCCCACTCACTGATGGTGCTGTTTTCCATATAGCTCTACAAAGCATGCTGCACGGGGATTTAGCATGCAGCATAAAACCCTGTTTGGCCTCAGAGATGCATCACACATTCAATCTGGGCAGCAGCGAGGCAATCAGTTGGAAACCTATCAGCAAAACCCTACACATGTAGCATGGGGGGAGGGGGGACACCTCAAAAGCAGAACTGTAATGTGGAGTCTGCTCTGAAAGAAATGGTTCAGTCCAGTAATAGATTCTGGGAGTGAGGTCAGGG